TTTTAGGATGATGAGCGATTATAAAGTAGAGACGATCAACGATGGCATGCAAGAGTTCTTCGTTGAATTCAATGGACCCAAAGACAGTAAGATTTGCAAAGTCATCAATTTTGGTTTAATTGTTCTCTTTTGATCCTGTTTATGATTTTGTTGCTTATGATTTAGTGATGATGATTAGGGTTTTTGCAGTTTTTGATGATTTTGTTCATAGTTTTTGTCTACCTATTATCAACCAAGTGTCTCTTTAATTTGACTTTTGATTCTGTTTCTTATGAATGATGATAAGGGTTTTTGCAGTTTTTGATGATTTCTGAGATTTTGTTCATAGTTTTGTTAAAAAATCGCTCAAACTATTACCAACCAGTGTCTAGTGGTTGATTCGGATCTACGGGCTAAAAGTGTACAAACACTGCTTGTGGTTTTTACTTGGTCACTTGGTTATATGGTCTCTGTGTTTTATATGGTGCTGAACTTAGGATTAGTCAGACGCCGTGGCGAAGTTCGGATATTAAATTGAATGAAAATTTTGCTGAACTATTCTTCTTATTTATGTGTATGTGTGCGCTTTGATAGGTCTGTATCAAGGAGGTGTGTGGAAGATTAGAGTGGAGCTTCCGGATGCTTATCCGTACAAATCTCCATCTGTTGGTTTCATTACTAAAATTTATCACCCGAATGTTGATGAACTGTGAGTTTGGATTTGAATCACTAGATGTTTTGGATTAAAGGTATTGGACACTTATGAATTTGTTCTAGACCTTTTTATCTGTGGTCTCTTTTGGTTACGCAGGTCGGGTTCTGTTTGTTTAGACGTGATTAACCAGACTTGGAGTCCCATGTTCGGTAAATGTGGTTTGATTTTGGAAATTTGAATCAAATGAATGATTGTTGTTGTTTTGATTTATGTTTTTGAAATTTTTTTTTTTCAGACCTTGTGAATGTGTTTGAGACATTTCTTCCTCAGCTTCTTTTATACCCAAACCCTTCTGATCCATTGAATGGAGAAGCTGCTGCATTGATGATGCGTGATCGTCCTGCTTATGAACAGCGAGTTAAAGGTAATTTATTCAGATTAACAGTGTTAGGAGGTAAGTTAAAATTCTGAAAATCTGTTAGTGTGTGCGTTCTTGAACTTTTTAGGATACCGAGAAGTTAATATCTTGAACTTGTTCTTAACGTTTGTGTTCTTAAGATTACCATTCTTAACGATAAAATTTCCTCTGAATCATTTGCATTTCTATAGTCTCCTTTTGTTTAGTTATTGTGAGAACTGAATTTTCATTAATCTCGGAGCTTATGCGATGATCTGCAAGTGATGTAAACCCGTCTTTGATTTGCTTATTAGAAAGCTCATGATGAAGATCGAGTTTCTGATCATATTAATAGGTTTAGGTGCATTTTACTCTACTTAACTGTAGAGGTGAATAACAATATGATTGTAAAGGCTTTAACCATAGGTTTAGGCATTTGCACGGTCTCGGTAATGTCTTCGATTACGCGACATCTTTCGGAAGTTTGATGGTCATTTTGTTCGGGTTGCATTTTTCAGAATACTGTGAGAAGTATGCAAAACCAGGGGAAGGTTCGGAAGATAAGTCGAGCGATGAAGAATTAAGTGAAGAGGAATATGGTTC